TAATAATAATATAATACTTTTCTACTAAATGTATGTTTAATAATAAATTATGGGTATCTTATTCGTCATTACAGTCATTTTAATACTATGATATAGTAATTTTTAACTTAATTCAACTTGGGCACAGATAAAAAAAATTCTGATCAAATTACAGAAAAATTAAAATATATTAGGTATAGACACCTGCCTAAGAAACAGCTATAAATAAGGTAGGTAACTATTATTTTTTTTTGTCAACTAGAAATTTTCAAGATAATTAAATGTGGTTTTTTCATGATGAGTTAAGTTTCTCTATTATGTAACATATTATAGAAAGAAAAAATTTAGGTATATTTTAAAACCCTAAAAATGATATAATATATGAAAACCAATGGTGGGTAGTTTTTACTTTCTGATTTATAACTTAATTTTGGTGGTATAAATATTTTATTTTCAACATTACAAACGTCTATATGACTTATATACTAGATTTAAAACAATTTTTGTTTTGTTTTGTTGTATGTTAAAAAGCTATAATTAGTGTAATTAGCATTTTATTAAAAATACATGATGCGTAAATTCACAATCGATTCGATTAATTGAATAATACGCTCGTCGTTTGACAATAAAGTATAAATTACACTCTATATTATTGTACGACTATTTAACTACCATTCGTAACTATGTCAAACATTCATTCACTGAACACAAAAACTAGTTATTACTTATTTTTTATCATTGGTTTTTTCGTATAATTTACCGCTACAGTTTCAAACATTTTAAATTCAGCAGACGATAATTTTTAATCGGTATCTACACAGTGTCATTAATTATATATAGTACTATTTTTTTATTGATTGGTCATATTCTGGTTTCGCAGCACAGCATACTAGGTATTGCAATGATATATTATAACATTATGTTAGGACTTACGGCAAAAACAAACGTAGGTATGAAATATCTTTTAAAATATTACTTATTAACTGTATCGATGTGAATGCAGTGATGTACATATCAGTCATTGTCTCGCTATCGGATCTGTACTATACACCTATATAATATAATTTTAAAACTGCAGTCCACATTGAATTAGTTATAATTTATAATAATAATAGTGTGCTGGTTCCTGGTACACAACAAGGGAGTACTGCAATAATATATATAAAAAAGGAATAAATCCATAATAATATGAAAAATCTATACTTATTCATAAATACATTTTCCTTAACATTTTGAGCTGGTCAATGAAAATATTTGTGGTTTCCAAAATGTGCATTCGACAAAACAATACGCTTACCTATCATATTGCATTTATCCAATTTTGAGTAGGCACTTTAAACGATAAGTACTTTTAACAGTACTTTTATATTTCTATAAGTCACACATCCCACGCTTACTTATATGTTAATATAGTATAGGGGTCAACATATGAAAGGGTGTGTTACCTTGTTTATGGACCTTTTTCATTATTACGATTACGCACGTTCTACATACCCTGTATTATTGCAACGTTGCAGTTCTTCACAATCGTGAACATTTGTAATATATATTTCCAGACTATATAGTATTAAATAATTATATACAGCCCAATTGTAAATGTCCAACTAACATAATATGGACTGGAGAACCTCCAATAAATAAAATGTAACTTATTTTTATAAATTATAACCAAAATTCGAAAGTATTCTGCTGTACAATAGTCATTAACTTAAGGTTTTATATGTTTTGATTAATAAAAATAAAGTTTCATAAAATAATTGAATAAATTATTATTAATTACGTTATTTCTAGTAATTTTAATGTCAGAATAACAAATGGTCCAGAGTTTCCACATAATTTTTAACGCTCAATTGTATAATGCACATCCGCCGATTTATAGTGTCATTAAAAAAAAAAGTTACACTCATTTCTGTACGCAATCGCAACCAGTAATGTTTTAAGGAAGATAATTCGTACGCAATCGAGCTACTTAAAGGGACAAATAACGTACCCAATCGTTTATCACCATTCACCGATTCGCATTACCTAAAAATTATACCTAGGTATTCATAATTTTGAGTACCTACACTTAAAATTAGTATGTGACTACCGGATCGGAACACAACTATCGCCTTTTCACTTATTACAAGTAAGTATTGTTGTTGATTCATTTTGTACGAGGCCCCTCTTATGCATGGATTTTCCGACTTTATATTACGCCACTGGTCAATCATTAACGTTATTAAATTAATATTCTAAAACATTGATAAAAATTAATTTTATTTAGTTATCTCTACTGCGATATATTTTAACACTGGCATGCCATTTAGTTTTTTACTTTTTACAAAAACTATTGTTTGAATGTAATAACGCTGACCTGAGGACAACAAATAAAAACGACATAGGTATTCTATGACACCTAACTTTGCAGTGAGATATTATATACTATATAATACTACAATTATTTTTAGGTGCTTATATATAGTATCTACCGCAGGCTACTCATTTATCCTGCGAGTGGGATGACGTGTAATATACGCTGTTTGCTACTCGTCGTGTTTTTCGTTCTAGTGCACCCGGATTTAGGACTGGTTTTCAATCACGGGGACATTTCGAAGCAAAGGCTATCACTTATCGGCTATCAGTAGGTACACTCAAATTTAAGTGTACTGATACGGAGCTTGTATACAGGAAAGCTCTAAACCCGGGTGCACGAGAAAGAAATTCGCCATTCACGACGAGCAAACCGTGCTCTAAAAAAGTATACGATATAAACAATGTAAACAATTTAAGAATATGCCAATAGCACTGAGATAGAGGTAGGTACTAGTGCTATAGAAACCTACCTACTGTACATATAGAATAGTTAGTAAGCTAAGGCTAACCTCGAGGAACAATAGTTAATAACTAATAGGATGTGGTTCTGTTTTTCGGGCTAATAGCCCCCCCCCCCCTACCATGATACATACTGTATTAAAATTCATAGCATAGTGTAAATTACTCTAGACCGTATACCAAGTAAGGAAATACTGAGAAATTGAACATTATTGAGTTCACGCCACGGTTATCTAATACAACTATAATATTATATAATATTGGAGGTATGTTAGGGTTATAGGTGACCGTCACCAATTTGTTTATTCATGATATCGTATATCCGGCCATATCATCCCATATCGTATTATTTAAATTTACTTTTTATCTGCATGGTTTTAATTTTACATTGCATTATCGTCAATACTCAATAATCACAGCAGCACAGTGTATACAATTTCACGAAATTATCTTCTTCAGACTATAAATATTGTTGTACTGCTGGCAAGTGACTGTATACAATAGCCAACGACTGTCTTCGGGCTCGCGTAAGCAGCAGGGGTGTGCCATACAGAGTGATCTATGTAGCATAAGAAGTGTGTTATGTTAAAAATGGATCACTCTGTTTATTGCACTATTATAATATATTATATACGTTTATATTGATGAATCGTATACAGGTATTCATATATTTCATACTAACATTTATATCCGTATTAATATGATTATTTTATATGTATACAAATGATTGTGCGTTTGTTATTACTCACTTTGTTTACTCAATGATCTCGGAAACCACAAAAGCTATCGAAGCCATATTCAAATATATGAGGTTCAATTCGCGCCCCCATATGTTCTTGTTTTGGTCGAATGTCGCCAGGATGTGCCAATCCAGTGTTAGGTCGAAAATTTGTATTTAAAGGTAAGAGGTCTTGAAATGAATAAGTACATTATATACAACACGTATAACACATATAACATGCAATGATCGTCATGAAAGTCGAGACCAGACATTTAGCCACCGTATACTGCGTAGATTGAACAGTGTTTTTTGCTTTTAATTATTTCGTAACCGAAGCTGTCGAGGCACATCGCCGCGGCATCAAAACAACAGTGTTTTAATATAACTAACATTTAATGCAACAATTACTATGTTTCCATGCTCGCAGCAATATGAGCTATTGACTTGTGCTGGTGTGCGATGATTCTGTGTGTATCATCACAATAAAATCTCCCTTGGTATTTGCTATTTGGAAATCAATGCATGTCTAAATGTTCAATATAGTAATATCACTAATATCTTTGTTATGGCGAAGCGTTCACATACTCAAAATGAACAACAATAATACATGTATATAACCACTAAATAATTTATCTGCTGAATGCTGATCAATTTTTAAAACAACTGTTGAACATTGGAAATGGTAAAATTACTAAAGGGCGTTTTTATGGAACAAAAATATGTCTTACAAGAAAAAATCTCACGCCCCGCAGAATAGATGGATTTTGATAATTATTTTTTTTTTATTCCAAAGAAGAGAACATTTTGCAAGTATACGATCAATATTTATTGTTTTTTTAACGTATTTCCCTAACAAATTTAAAGTAAAATGAAAATTCGGGATTTCGAACTGCAAAAAGTTCTCATTATTCAGAATAAAAAAGAAATGATCAAAATCCGATTTATTCGGAAGGCATGAGAGCTGTTCCCGTGAAGTAATTTTTGTTAACATAATACGCCTATCGAATCAACCCTCCCCCTAAATAGGTATCGGATAATAGATTGATGGAAAAGTATTATAATTAAAGTAGCAAACTACGAACTAAAATATTAAATATAATTTTCAAATTTTATGAAATTGCGGAAAATTTTAAATATCTTATCATTTTACTACATCCTAACAAGAAAAAATGTAATCGCTGATTTTTGTATACTTTTGATTAGATATCGGCATGTTTTCAAAAATTCAATTAAATTATAGAAATCATGAATATCTAAATCAACGCCACCATATTGGCAGTAAGAGATATTGATGGCGATGCATTGAATTTTATCATATACAACAAAACATGTTATCCGGAGTACTTATTTCATTCAAGTCAATTGAACGACTGTGGTCGAAGAAAATGAAGCTGTACATTTTCCTAGAAAATTTTCGAATTCTTTCGATTTGCCATGTCCACCACTGCACAATTTATAATTAAAAATTGGCTTTTCAATAATGTTATTGAGAAACATATAAATCCATCACGACTTTGAAATAGAACACGGTTAGTTGTCTGCAAAAAAATCAAGTGAAATTCCATTAAATCAACAATCTTAAATGGTAAATTTAAAGGGAAATGTGTTTAATTTTAATTTTAAATAAACCAAATCAATATTTCACGCAACAAATATAATTTAAACGCATGCATACAAATTCTTTAAGTGTCTGATATCAAGTAATTGTACCTATGTTTATTGAAAGTTTTTTTTGTAATTTTCAACATCTAATTTTTGAAAGTAAAAAACACTCCCACAGCTTTTTTTCTGCGTGCAACGGTTTTTGGGCATATTTATTATTTTATCATTGTATATTTCACAGAATTTGCTGCCCCCGGGTGCACATCTATATCTCGGATGTACCTGTCCGATGGTTTGCATATTGTTTGTCAAGTTATAAATTTAAAATTTCGTAGACACGAACTTAGTAACTTACTAATTATTATGTGCAAGCTTCGCCCACCGCCTGTTGCAATATCGATTGTTGTTAATATGCTAGCGATACCGAGACTAAATAACCCAGACATGATCGCCAGTCTAGATCATTTTACGCAGGTATTCTTCTCTAGACGTAGAAAAATTATTGCAGTTTGTAACGGTTTGAAAAACAATATTTAGAAACTGTAGAAAATACATTTACATTTCCCTAACAAATTGGTGGAAAACTTTTTTTTATAGAATATACCTATGAGTTTTTCAATAAAACTCATTAAAATAAAAGTAGTGCCTAGGCCCTATGGGCTATCGATAGAACATGCCTATATGCCGCTGGTAACGTCTTCAACTCACAACGCGTTTCGTGAGCGCACAAACGACAGTAATTACTGATGACACGTTTTGGTCGTCGGAATACCGTTACCTTGTAACACATAACGTTGAACATAATCGGAGATAGTACTACTCACTACTGGTTACTACAAAATACTATTACTACAGAACGGTCTGAACGTACAGGTTACTACAAGATACTACTACTATAATTACTACCACTACAACTCTATTTACTATAATATTATTACTACTAAATATATAGTACACCCACACCCCGCGACGCGACGACTGCAGCGGTTTATTGTACGTTTTGTCGTCACGTCGGCTTGGCAACACTGCGCGCGGCATGCCGAATAAAATAATATTATGAATAAATCGGATTGTTCGTTACGAGTACACATACGCACACGGACGGTGTGGAATAATAAAATAATAATAATAATAATAATACGGTCGCGCGTATTCCCCCTTCCCCGCACGGCGTTTGTACGTTGATGAATTACGGGAGCGGCGGACCGTCGACGTCACCCACGGCGCGCGGCCGCAGGAGGTATCGCGGACAGCTGGCCCGCGGCGGCGTAAAAGCCAAGTTTGTAATACCACGGAGATAACGACGTGCAGTGGGAAATTATTTTTCCGAAAACAAACAATAACAACAACGAACGGGCTAACCGTATACGCGGATACGTTACACTACGCGGGCGGCGTGGAAAAAAATTGTAGAAAACGCGCCTTTTTTTTCTATGCCACCGTCGGGTTTAGGAAGGGGGGTACTCGGTTTTTGGAAGAGTGTGCGAGCAAGCGCGACGTGGAGGGGAACGAGCGCGACCGACGATGTCCGGTGTAGTGCGCGCGCGTCGCGGTAACGGGCTGAGCGCGGTGGGGCGGGGGTACGTCGCGTACGCATGCGCACATCAGTCTGCGATCCGAGTCGGTCAGAAAATGGCGTCAGTCAAGTTTCTGGAGGAAGTACTCAGTAAGGACGTGGACGAAAACGCGTTCAGTGCAATCGTGGTGTCGCTGGAAAGCGAGCTGGTCACCAACACGTCTGTCGTGTCCACCGGTAACAGGAGTCACCACCACAACAACACCAACACTAACAATAGCACCAGCAGCAGCAGCAGCAATAATGCTGTCGCAGCTACAGCGGCCGCGCCGCAAAAACAACAGCAGCAGCACGTCTTGGTCAACGGTGCCCGGGCCGCCGCCTCCTCGATGAACAAATGCATAGCCGCCGTCTCCGCCAACAACAACAACAACAATAGTCTTATAAGGTTCGTTAGTTTCGGGGGGGTGCCACGGCCGTTTTCGCGCACTCGGCGGGTACGACGACGACGACGTTTTTTGGCGCGCGCCCTCCGGACAGGGATCTTCTACCTCCGCCGTCCCGTTGGCCTGACGACGGCCGTATGCGGCCGGGGGGGACCGTCGTGAGCGAGAGTGGTACGGTGCAAGGTTTCGCGACATAACTTCAGCTCGGCGTGCCGTGTGCGGCCAACAGCGAGAGAGCGCGAGCTATTTGACCGATACGGATCGACGACACGCACTCTGGCCGTCGAGATCACAACTACGGCTGCGGCACGGATTGAGGACGACGGAAATATTAATAATATCAATGATATTAATATTAAATAATATTTAATAGTACATATTATAGTGTAAAACGGTAGGTGGCCGCCGCGGGGACGTACACCACCGTGACGACTGACGACTGAGGACGCCTCTCCGTCGTAAGTCGTCTACGACCCTGCCGGCTAACGGTAATAGTGGGTGGTCACTTCACGCGACGTGGGTATTCGAAAATCGAGATAACCCGTAAACAGCTCTCAGCAGCGACGACCGAGTTAGGTTTTTTTTCCTGATAACAAAACAATAATATTTACCTTTCACTTGTTCGCGTACGAATAAAACGGTCGCGGTTCCGCGCACTATAAAACATTGGTGTACTTACGAGTCTGATCGTTCCGCGCTCGTACCGCAATGCCCACTGAATGATAGCGTTTCGTAACCCTGTCTCCCGCGATATGACGTTTTGAGGTTAGACCACTACCGAGGTGCTCCGCCGAGTGGGCACGTCGTTACGAAATGATTGTGGATAATAATAATTTGGCGTATGCCACGGACTTGGATACGTCTTGTTAGTGTTTATCTCAGTCCGTGGTGAACGCGCTCCAGTGTTTAACCTGTGCTGATCGATTTGTTATTTTTGTTTTTGCTTTCGACGTGTATACAGCCACTGCGATAGTTTAATGCCGGGCATCAGTCAGGCGGATTTTGTTGGCCAACAACAACAACAGCAGCAGCAGCAGCAGCAACAACAACAACAACAACAGCAGCAGCAACAACAGCAGCAGCAGCAACAACAACACCATCACCATGTCGTCAATCCAACGCTGGCGCACAACTACGCGGCACCGCAACCCATGAAATCGCTAGACCAGGTCAAAGTAGTCTACTCGAATTCGGCCAACAGCCGAAATTACGTGCCGGTCAACTCGTTGCCCAACGGCACGATTAATTCTACCAGTACAGGTTAGAGTTTGTCCAGTTACGTGTCGTTGCCCTACGCGTTGCACTGCTTTACGTCGTTACCAAACTCATCCTAAACCACCAATTGTCCGGATGCCGCACACGTTACACCGACACTATGTTATATATCCGGATAATACTTATTACATGTCTTACATGACTTATCTCCAGACCTCCAATGTTTTGTACAAGTAGTCTGCGATCGCTCTACTAGGGCACCACCATAAACAGTTCCCGGCTTGTTCGCCGACCTGACTTCATTCTTTGCACACTTGTCGCACTGTGGAACTGTGTTAAATAACATGATTCGTAACTATCCGATGTCTTGCATTGCCATTGTTACGTTATTCCGTATTGTCAATAAGCTGTCGGTTAGCAATGGTAGCTTATATTAAGACCTAATTTACAAAAAGCCCACACATGAAATGTTCAAATTTCATGAAAACATAATCATCATTACATAGGTAGGTGGTTATCTATTATTTCATAGTTATTTTCACATTTTAAAATGATATATTATAAAATCTTCATCAAGGCTAATATCTAGAATTCTGATTCAAATGCTGATGATTCATTAACTGAATTGGATTTAAATATGTTGATGTTTCTAATTATGTTCCCCCTCAGATTAACTCTCTCATAGTGTTTTCTATTAAGTCAGGTGATATGTTTAAAGCTTCTAGTTAGTTTTTATTCCAACTTTTGTAACGTAAAATAATTTTTGAAATTTTTTTGTAGGTTTTTTTACCTAGTACAATTTCAAATGATTCATATAGAAATCTCCCAGACAATTTCTATATCTCTCATCACTAATAAGTTATTGATAGTTTATGTTGCTAACCTAATTTTCTTACAGGTACTGGAACCGCTGTTGTAATTAAGTCTACATCTCAACAGCATCATCATAATTCACCTCCAGTTTCCACAATGACTTTACCTGGACAAGTTTCGTCCAACCAATCTTCTGTCTCATCAAATGTTATTACTGTTTCCAAACAAATGGCACAAGGCGTAGTTACTGGTAACTCTCCTCAAACAATTTTGCCAGCAAATGTACAAATACTGAATGTCAATGCACTGCGGCCGCAAAATTCTCAAGGTGGAGTCAATAAAAATATGTCAAGAGTAATGATACCTCAAGTAGTTGGATCCCGTCCTGGTGCACCCGGGGTAAGTTAAACAATTTTAAACATTGTACACTAATTTTTGCTTGTATTAAATATAATTTCTGTTTTATAACTAATAGGTAAGCAATAGCAAATAGTCTCTTATTTAAGTTATTATTTAAAATACTAAGTTAACTGTAATTGTCTGGATAAATTCATATGAAGTGTTGTCCAGATAACTAGAGAAGTAGTTCAAGAATCAAGAGTACTCGAAAATTCAAGACATTTTGTTTCATCTGCTTTATTTATCTGTTCAAATACCAAATTAAAAAAAAATATATGTTCACTGGACTTTTATTGGTCTGAAGCTAAACTATTGAAGTTTTACTAAATTTATACTTTAAATACTTTATTATAGTTCACTGTTTCAAATATTAAATATTGCTGATATTTTTCATTTCTGTTTTTTGTAGCTTACTCTACAAACACTCCAACAAGCACAAGGTGGACATATATTATTAAAGACTGAAAATGGCCAGTATCAGTTATTACGAGTTGGCCCAGCACCTAGTCAAGGGAATGCTATTACTCAGAATAATGCAAATTTTAGAGTACAATCTGTTCCTTCGGTTGCAACTGTAAGTTTTAGTTGAAATGATAATGTAATTTGTTTTTTATGTAGTATTTAAAACCGTGGTTAAGAATTTGAAACCCCTTCCAGATCAATGAAAAATTTATTGACAACAATGTTTCCGATTTCCCATCATAAATGGTAACATAAATATTTGATGACTACAATGTCAGAAACAAATGTTTCATGGTCTGGATTGGGTTTACGATAACATTTGTTGTCAACATAACATATGTGTTACAATATATTATTAGGCTATAGTAAAATAATATAGGAATGTTAATAATTTAAAAAATAAATGTATTGCAACCAATGTATTTTTTTTATTATGATTGGAAAGGCGGTAATCATTAATAAGCCACAGCATGATAAATATGTAAAATTAGGGTTTTGTGATGCCAATAAGTTGAAAATTATCATATTACAACAAATTAAGTTATAATAATTATTATTGGATATAGGTCATTGACCTTAATTACTTGTTAACCATGCAATTTTGGACTAGGTTGGTACATGTGGTAAATTACCTAGTTTTATTTAGTATTTATTAGTTTTTTATTTTTTTAAATTTTAATGCTCTAAAAAATGTTTATTGTATGAACTTAAAGTTCTATGTAAAAAAATGGAATTACTATATAATGAATATTTTATAAATAATAAAATGGGTGAACTCATATTGAAGTGATTAAATTGGCATTCGTATGTAATAGCCCAGTGGTCCTGTGACAATTTGACCACTAAGAAAAATCTGTTTCAGGTAATTTTAAATTCAAATTATGACATGTTATGGTTGAAAAATGAAATAAATACTTTAATTTTAAAGCTATTTTTTTAAATTTTGTTGTATTTCTGGATATTTTAATTTTTAGATAAACTCTAAATGCTTTTAAATAATTCATGTAGCTTGAAAAATATCTTGCCGGGCAATCCAACCCTTAATCTTTTTTCTAGTAATTTTAGTTAGTCAAAAATAATTTATATTATTCACAGTTTATAACTTATTATTCTGTTAATTTATTTAAATATTAGTAATAGTTGTCTGATAAAATATTAAACTTCCCTTCCTATCATAATTTAAATAAAAAGCTATAAATACCTAAAAACAAATCTTAAATAAACTGTGTAAATCTGTGTGTATGTTTAAATTGATTAAAGGAATACTATTTCAGAACAATGTTTCCATTGCTGGTACACCAACTACAACACCAACTCAAACGATAGCTCAACCTCAACAGGTATTGTTAAACAATTTATCCAATTTCATTTGAGTTAATAGAGATGTTATAGTTTATTTATTTTTAAGGCGCATCAAAAAATTCAACAAGACAATACTAAAGAAAAATGCCGCAAATTTTTAGCCAATTTGCTTGAATTATCAAGTAAAGAACCCAAACCTGTAGAAAGAAGTGTGCGAACCCTAATACAAGAACTGGTTGATGCCAAGGTGGAGCCAGAGCAGTTTTGTGATCGGCTAGAGAAACTTCTGAATGCTTCACCACAACCGTGCCTTATTGGTTTCCTCAAGGTATCATTTATTTTATATAATTAACTTTTAAGGATCTCAATACACAAAACAAGTTTTTTTTAATTTGAAATAATGTTTAATTTTTATTAAAAAAAATGGTATAGGTTTTACATTTCTACTCAAGTTATTCAATGAGTTATGAGAAATTGAATAAAGACATATAATGTCATCAGGCCGTAATTTCCATTATAAATACATTCTTATACGTGTAAAAGTTGTTCGCTTTACACAAACAGTTATTTACCTAGAAGATTTTTTATTTTTTTTTGTACCCTTATGATTTATATTTATGGGCCAAAGATGTTAGTGGTACCAGAATTTTTCTACAGTGTTTATTTCTTTAAATATTTCATAAAGCCTAAAAGTGTTATTGGTATTCTGGTACTTTGATCATCTTTTGCACCAAAATGTATACATTAATCTAACAACAAATTAACATTTTTAGATTGATAAATCATTGTGTAAACTGAGCAACTTTTAAACATAGGCAGTTATATAAAGCCTGGCCCAATGACATCATATGACCATTCTTAATACCATAATAACTCTAAATTATATATATTTTTTTTTATATTGAATTTTGATCAAATCGTTTTTAATGGTTTTAAATACTATAATATTATATTAAATTAAATTAAATTAAAAGAAAATATTTTTTTGTGTTGTGTACTTCTTTAATTATTTTGCCTGGCATATTTAACATTAATAAACCTAATGTTTTTAATATTTGCTTACAGAAAAGCCTACCACTCTTGAGGCAATCACTTATGTTAAAAGAAATGGTGATTGATGGAATTCGACCACCACAACTTAGTGCTCAACCTACTGTTGTTTTAGCTAATCAGCAGCAAGCAACGGTAAAGATTATTTTATTTCTTTTACGTCAAAATTTAAAAATTTGGTTTTTGTTAATTGTTATAAACTATTTTGGTATGATAAAATTAATGTTTCGTCCAAACTATTTTATATTTGATTACATTTATAATAGTATTATGTTAAAAATTGATTAAATAGTTTACATTTTTAAATTGTAGATATAAAAAGTTAAAATTATAATCGTTGAAAATAAATACTTAAAATTCTTATTTTTTTAAATGTATTCTACTCGTATATTCATTACGTGAGATGTATAAACCAATGCTCAGTTTTATCTACACATTTGTTTTGGTGAAATCAATTTCATGTTCTTTATTTTATTTATTTGATGTTTGAAAAATTCATATAAAATAAAATTCATTTAGAGAGATTATTATAAATAGTAATAATTTCTATGCAATATATTATCCTTTATCCCGCTACTTTTCACAGCATTTTGGCAGCAAATTTATAAACAAATATTAATTTATATTTATTTTTCAGTGTGTCATATAAGATACACTAAATATTTTTGTGGAATGACCTTATATTTAAATCTGGCACTTTCCACGAGGTACTTTGTTGTATACAGTGTGGGAAAAAAGGTATTCAATTAATATCGAAAAACCATTATTTTTTTTTTCACAATACCGTTTTTGCTGAAAAATTTCATTTAGGTATCAGATTTGTATCCCAAAAAATTCTATTAAATATTTTCGAAATCGTATTGAAAAATATTCTTTTCTTCAAATTGTTAAAAAGTTTTTATTAATCCAATTAGTTTATCAAAATATTGTTTAAAAGTTGTGTGATTATAATGTTTTGCAATCTTAAATTTGTGTTAAGGATCAACATTATGTCATGTATTAGACATTGTTGTGTTATAATTTTTTTTGAACAATGTTTTTTTATAATTGATCCAAAGATTATATTTATTTTTTTAAGTGACACCTATACTTTTAAAAAACCACCCAAATTACATTTTTTTTTTTTCTGAAGCATAATATTTTTACTGAAACCTGGGGTATGTAAACATTAGAAAATATTTGATCGATATTTAAATAATTTATTTTCAGAAAAATGTAAAATTAAAATTTGGTTGGTTTTTTGATAATTTAGAATCTATTTTGGATTATTTATGAAAATTAGTAAAATGTTAAGTTATAACACTGGCAAAGATTGCATCAGAGTTGTATTTGATTAATACATAATAAGTATATCAGTGTCCAATGAGAGATCTAGTTAATCCATACAACAGATCTTAAAAGCTGTAGATTGTTAAGAAATTTCCTATACTTTTTGTAAACTGTTGAGTTATGTTATATTTTGATTTTTCTTCACAAGATATATAGTTGAAATCAAAATAATACATGTGTGTTAGTGTTTTTATAACCCACTGTTTTTGGTCACATTTAAATTATTTATTTAATACAATATTATTATACTTTTAATAGAATACACAAGTAATGGGAAATATCTTAAGTAATGCAGCATCTAACCAACAAACGGTTAGAATAATGACTTCCCAACCAGCCTTAACACCAGCAAGGACAATTAATTCTCAACAACAACATAGAATTGTTTCTGTAAGTTAATGTTTTTTTTTACCATCAAAAGTTCTTATAGTGCCCATCAATCTAAAGTGACAAGGCAACAATACATTTGCACCTACTCTACTCCAGTTGCTTGAAAAAAAAATGTATTCTGTTCATTTGTTAAAAAAATCAAATTTAAGATTTTATGCATTATTTGGAAAAATATATTTTTATTTTTACATCTTCTGAAGGAAAATATTTAGAAATATTAAATAGTGAAGAAATAATTAACTTTCCCTTCAAAACTAAATTTTTAAAAACAGATAAAATCATCATTAATGCCATTTATACAAATTGGTGTTAATTTCTCAACTTGTTGTAATTTTAAATTACAGCAACAAGTCAGGGTACAAACCCCACAAGGTCTCACAGCTGTTAATAAAATGGGTTCAATTCGCATTCAACCTCCAGTAGCAACTTCTCAAACTGCTACACTTCCTCCACCACTTACATCAACATCGTCCCCGAGACCACCAGCGGGTGGTGGTCGGCAGATGCTTGTTAAAGCAGTACCTCTTAAGACACCAGCTGGATCACATATTAAGATTAGTACTCCTTTAGTACCGACACCTGTACAAACTAATAGTATAACAATGCCTCAACCTCGGATACCACCTTCACCAAATATAATAGCACAGCCAACAATGATCAACAAAGTTCCAACACCAATTACTGTTGCTCCGCCAATAGTTGCATTGTCTAAACCTCCATCCAAGGAAAAAGAAAAGAAATCTTTTTCGTCATCAGCAGCATATGTGTAAATAAAATTTATTTTATTTTGACCTTACATTTTAAATGATTGCCAAGTGGAATTTGAACATAATACATTCGTTTTTTAATTAGTGGTGATGATGATATTAATGATGTCGCTGCGATGGGTGGTGTCAACTTAGCAGAAGAAACCCAAAGAATTTTAGGTTCCACCGAATTTGTTGGAACACAAATTAGATCATGTAAAGACGAAATACTTTTACCGCAAAATCCATTAGTAGCAAAAATTAAACAAATTGGTAATTATAAAATTCATATTTGTTTTATTTACATTGATTTAATGGTATACTCAATTGTCCAATGCTTTTTATTAAAGTATAAACATACTCTAATTTAAATCTTATCAAAACCATCTAAGTTATTTATGGTAATTTTTTTTAGAATTTGAACATTTAGTTTTAGTAAAAACATAATATGTTTTAATTCTGTAAGAAAATGTCTAAATAACAAAGATAATATCAATAAGATTTAAACTAATGTAACAGAAATATATACAGAACACATTTTAAATTGAACCGTACATAATCTTGTACTATCTTTACTGTGAAAAAAATCTTTGTATTTGTTATGAGAAGAAAAGTAATTAACACAAAGAATTTGTGCTAGGGTAATATGTTATTGAATTTAAAATTAATAATTTATATTACCCATTACCACAGTTTATTAAATTTGAACTTATTTTTAATATAGTGGTCAAACATTTTCCATTTCAATTATTAATTTTCCTATCATACAATTTTTGTTTATTAGTTTACATCAAAAGTAATACATTACAACTATTTATGTAATATAACTTTACTTTCAAATACTTTAAAATTAGACATTTGTATAATGTGTATTTGATGACCTATTTTTCATTTCGATTTAAAATTATTTGTCTCAATGATATTGGTTTTCTTTCTTATCTCAATATGCTTAATATGGTTTTATGAAATTTAAAGTTAGCTGTATCGTTTTTAAATGTATGTATTTTTAGTTTCAATCTATTGTGATCAATATTTTATATTTATATAGATCTATTTTAAAATTTTGTCCTCAGTAAATAGAGAAGGTTTAGAAGATGCTGCAGCTGATGTACCAGCTTTAGTATCTCATGCAGTTGCTGAACGCTTAAAAGATCTTTTAGAAAAATTTGCTGTTGTAGCAGAGCATCGTTTAGATTTCAATAAGGTAGGATTTAAATAATAATGAGGTTATAAGATTTTTTGACATAATATATTTCAATGTCCAGGCGGATAAACGCTATGAAGTTACTAGAAATATTAGAGGTCAAATCAAATGTCTTGAAGAAATTGACAAGGTTGAACGTAAGAAGCAAGATGAAATGGAGCGAGAACTTTTGTTACGGGCAGCTAAAAGTCGGTCGAAAAATGAAGATCCAGAACAAGCAAAATTAAAAGCTAAAGCCAAAGAGGTAATATTGATAATTTTGTTGGTATAGAAATTAGTTTTAATTAACAATTAAATTTTTTCTTCAATTTTAAGATGCAAAGGGTAGAGATGGAAGAACTACGACAACGAGAAGCTAATTTAACTGCCTTAAATGCAATTGGACCTAGGAAAAAACCGAAATTAGAACCGGGAATAAGTCCTAGTTTACAGGTAAAGTTAGTTTTTTACTTAAATTTTTTATTGAGTTCTATATATTTTATATTTATTTAATTTAATGTATATTTTACAATTTTTATTATTTCATTATTGACATGTAAATTATCTTTCAACCTTGATAAAACTATTCAAATGATTTTTAATGACCAGAAAGTAAGCTACTAAAAAAATGTATTCTTTTGCAAGGTTTGGTGAATGCGATATCTGTATTTATGGTCTACATTAACATGTATAATGTATATATATAACAATAAACAATTTACATTTTATACAATTCTAATTAATATAGTTTTATTATTTTTACTATTAGAGTAAATTTCTATAATTTTTTTTTTGTACTATAAACCTTATCAATTCTTGGTGTTCAATTATTCTTTTTGTTTCCAGAACCAAAATTCTAGTATTAGTACCAGCTTAACAAATAGACAAACAGTAAGTAAAACCATCGTTATGAAATAGTTTCATGAAATAATAAATAAACTTGTATTTATATGAACAGATACCTAGACAAAGGATAAAACGTGTTACCATGCGAGATACACTATTCGTACTTGAACAAGAAAAAGATATTCGTAGGAAGGCAAATTTCATGTTCAAACCATTCTTGAAGTGATATTTACCATCAGATTGTCATTGTAGCCGTTCCTTATTGTGGCTGCTGGCTAGTTGATTATGTTGACTATGTTTTCTGCCGCATTGTCGAACTAATTCAAATTGTTGTTAAAAACCATTTCATGCATATTCTAGATTAATTTTATCTACAAAATTGTTAATTTTTGTTATATTGTTTTTTTTTTCAATCACTGTTAATTTTTCTCTTTCTTTGTTAATCGCAACATAAAACAAGAAAAGAGGTTTAGACCATGTCCATGTTAGTTATAAATTGAATGCAGTGAAAAAAAAACTTATGCGATGTATCAAATATGGATATAAATATATATATAAGTATATACATATATATATTTATATGATATCACTCATTAAGCCTATGTTAAAAATAATGTATTTTTTTATTGTAAATAACACTAATGTATTGTATGTATGTTAAAAAAAGATTATTTTGTTAATGTAAAAAAAAGGGAGTTACTCAATTCTTATTCTGTAAGTTATGATCCGATATAAGTGAGCACTCATTATATTATTTTGTATAATGTATATATTTTTTTATTATAATTAATAAAATGAATAGGGTTCAGTGATTTTCACACACACAAAAAAACTGTTACCTCACTTTTCAATAATATCTATTTTTCAATGTTTGATAGCATAGTGTAAAAGTATATTTTTAAAGGGTATATTTACTTTTTTATTGACAGCTGACAGCATGCATTTTACTTATAAGTGCTGGAGAGAGAATGCTATTTGTCCTAGTTACAAAAGGTTAAAATGTATATTCTGCATACCATATTTTTCTATATTTCTAGATAGAAAGTTTGAAACGATACATGCGTCCACACACGTAAATACAAAGGTAATTTCAAGGCTGCAATGTAACCAATAATAGTATAATTTTTATATTATTTCAATAATTACATTACAAAGATCTTTTTAACCATTGGATCAATTTTTTAAAACTTTATTCTTAATGATTCTCCATTTACCTATACCCACCAATCACCATCAACCTAATATACTGGTGTAAGGTGCACCATCAAAGTTAAGTATTTGGGCAACACTAGGTAATAGGTTTGAGGAGATAATATTATTTTATAATTATTACCTACCATACCTTATTGGGTGTATTAATGTTAAATTTATTTTTTCAAAATTATTTTTATTTCCATGCAGTGGTATGGATTTACATTTTTTCAACTGATTTTGTGTAATACCCATAGATAATCAATAATAGTTAAGTGTACCACATATAACTAATTGTGTGAATTATATTTCTATTCAACTATTAAGATAATTATCAAGACGGAAATAACATTACCTGGAAAAATAGACTAGTATTTGATGTCGTATTTGATCAAAGTTTGATGAATAATCATGTATCGAAGATGGTCATAGAAATTAAATCACTAAGTTTGATCAACCATCCTGAGTGGTCCTGGAGGATAGTGGCCTGGACTCAAAAGTAGTTGGCCCGACTGACCTTGTAATGTTTATTGGGAGGTAGAAATATATATTGTACAATGTAGGTACCTACCTATTTATGTGCGACGCACGTTTGGAGATTTAAATGTGGTATGATGTATAGTATTATAATATTGAATTGCTAATTTTCAATATTTTTCTCGTTGTTGGGGGAGGGGATCTTAATTGTAGTATGAAGAATATAACAATATATCATTTTTTCGTTGTACCGTGTCCTAACTCCTAATAGTCCAACATATTATTATAAAATATGTCATAACATAATAAACAATTATAGTGTGGCATGAATTCGACTTTTACACATTACACAGCATGTACCTACGTAATGTATAATGATAATATATTATAAATATAATCAACAGTATCGTACAAAAAAAAAAAAAAAAATACCGCATAGGTAGTTATTACTGTACCAGTGTACCTACTTATTGCCTATTAATTTATAAAAATACTAAAAATTATTGTTTAACTTAATATTGACGTGAATGCGTACTTACTGAGTACTGAGTACTAATTATTATTAATTTTATTTGTTGTATGAAGTATTTGTTTTACAACGAGCCACCATAATAATTAATAACATTATATTGTATGACCTATTTGGTTGAAACGTCCTTTAGATGCTGTAGATCTTATTGTAAAAGTCTCTTCTTGTGTTTTTTTCAGAACTAATATAACCAAATGAATAGAAAGGAGTGGACTATGAAAGTTTGCATTATATGTTTTATGGAAATTCTCCAATGTACTAACGCCTATCTACATGCTTCATGAGCACTCTCATCTCTAAGTCTAAATGTAACTTGTGAATAGCAAGTCTTTTGAAAACTAGTTTTTCATTTAACTCCTGAATAAAATAAATATCCACATGTCAATGTAAGTTTGTTTGGATTTCTCAGACAAGAAAAAAAAGGCCACAGGTGTATAAAAGCCATTAATTGTGTAGAGCTGAATATGTTACTTCTGCGCATAATTAAGAGTACCTTCAGCAAAAAAATCTAATGAATCGTCCACACATCTTAGACTTTGATCTGTAATTATAAAAACGAATATTTGTTATCTGGTACAAAAACAAATTGTTCACCTTTAAATTTAAGTAGGTTGGTGCCTACATCATCTTTAAAATTAATTCTATTGTAGATTTTGGAAAAGCCGGATACATTTTTCGTCGTTTGCATGGGCGACCATAGGTAACATTTTAGGGGGGTCAAAATAAAAAATTTCGGTAATAAGGTAATATTGTGGTAATATTTATTGAGCAACAAGTTCATAATATTTTTTTCCAGGGGGGGGGGGGCAAGTGCCCAATTGCCTTTTTTTTACTAAGTACCTATGCTTATTTCATTGATTTGTGATGTAAATGGGCATATAATCGTATTTGTACACAAGAAACACACTGATTAAATGTTTTAAAACACATATTACATAGACATATAGTCAATGGTGGGCATTAACTTGTTAAAAAGTTAAAGTTAAGTTAAAAAGTTAATTTTTTTAAACTTTTTAACTCAACTAGTAAGTTATATTTGTTTTTAACTTATTAACTTATTCAGTTAAATGTTGTATTATTTTAACTTAACTTTTTATAGTTAATTATCATTATTGTATAGTTAAGTTAATTTTAATTTTTTTTTATCACGTGGAACCAACAGACAAAACTCATTCTTCCGATTTTGGTAATTTATTTTTCTAATAATATAATATATTCAAATCATCAATTCATAATAATCAAATTATGTTTTATTATAAAGTACATACCGACCTAACCTACTTATAAGTTATAACTTAGAAGTAGGGGCCGGAATTATATTCCTTAAAAATAGCGAGAATAAGAAGCTAATATTCTTTTATAAAGTTGAAAATATTCTTCCAAAAAAACTGATATAAATAGGTACATAATAAAAAAATAATGCATGTTAAAATTTTTTTATTAAATTATATTTATGAGGTATTCTTAATTAAGAAAATTTTTGAAAACAGTTGACAACTATATTTTAAGCAACTAATGAAATAAAACTATTCTCTGTACCTATGCCAACAGTTGTACACGAGTACACGACACGCGACACTGCAGTGTTGTACCTGTAGTAATTAAGTGTAGTAATTCCCATGGTGTCGAGCATCGTTATCTTATAGATAAGTCACTTATCTACTACAGAGTACAGACTATTACATTACACTACCATTTAGGATATAATATTGTCGTATATACGATGCCACGATGGTATATTATAATGTATCAGTATCATATCAGTGTATCACTATTATCGGGCATGTTATATTATTATACTAATTACGCAATTGCAACAAAAAATTACGAACATCTATAAAAATTAATCGATATATCCCCTAATATTTTTTATCATACAGAATATTCTTTTATTTTAAAAAATGTCTCAAATATTCGAAAAAAAATTTGCCATTAATTTACCTGTTTCATGATTTGTGAAAATGTCGAACCCCCGTCTGACTTCATAGGCTAAAAAAACATGCAAAAGAATATAATTCCGCTCCATACTTATAAGTATATACATGTTACTAAACATAAGACCGCGTTACACCGTCTGGGTTTTTTTTAAAATATAATTTAGAGTTAGATTGTTTTAAACTGACAGCGCTGTTTTTTGCAAGAATCGGTCAGTTTACTCAGTACTGCGCTCGGGGGAAGAAGGAACACGACGACCAGTCGGTAAATACAATCTTTCCCTCTCGGATCCTCACTAATAGTTACATATACACAAAACGCCAAAACGTACTTAAAACGTTATAACTAAGTCAAATACCTACTTGACAAGGACCTTACGGAATTGTGTTCTTCCCTTGAAAATGTCAAGTATCTGTGGTAATTTTTATCTAATCTAAAAATTAACATAACCCTAAAGTTACACTAAAAATACATTTTTCGAAAACTGGTGTTGTGTAGAAATTCCCCTTTTTTCCTTAATTTATTGTTTATTTTTCTTCTCGCTTTTGAAAACTATTCTAAATTTAAAATTTTTCTAAAATAAAAAATATTACAATGATTTATTAATTATTTAATAATTAATAATATTTTTTTTATTTATTTTGCCGAATTATTTTGTCTTGAAAATGCTACCACGGTGGCCGACTGTTGTTTCCAGACTTTGTTTACCACCACCGCTTCAGTGTGCAAGAGCACTTTAAAGGTATATCCAAAATAAAATAAAAAAAACCAAGGTTTTTTTCACAGTAAGAGTATTGTATAAAATGTTCAAACACTTCAAACGCAGTGTTCAAATTAAATGAAAAGATGAATTTCTAATAATTGACTAAATTCTAATTAACAAATTTTGTAATAACATTGACTATAAACGTTTCTAATAATAGGTTAAGATTATGTCGGTATTTTCTATATTTTTTTAATTGAGTTTAAACAACTCACTAGCACCATATAATACATTTATATCGTTGAAAGTTAATAACATTCGTAGTCGATGCTTAAACATAAATATATAAAAAAAAAACAATACATTAAAATAGCTATATTGTAGTGTATAAAATACATTATCCATAGTTTTCAAACAGAAATATAAAATATTGTAACCTCTTTTAGAAAAAAAAATGTCGTTGACTTATTATCGAATTATTTTTTATTTAAAACTATATAAAATGTTGACATTTTAAACACGCAATAATATTTTAAAATGCAATAATTTCAAAAAAACAACTATAGTTTTCTACTGTAAAAATCCGATCACCTGATTTGGCCAGTCGAACAAACCACTCCCGTAACGCTTTTTGTTCTCAATGGCTGAGCCGTTTAGAATTAAGTATATTTAGTACATTAATTACGAATTTTGTACAAACAATTTCTTGTATATAATAAAATAATCTTGTATTTATTTTTTATATTTTGAAATATGATATCTGCCTAATAACAACAAAATATAAACTAAAATTTAGATTTATTTTCTAGTCAATCTTCCCGAGGGATGGTCTGGTAAATATTTAATGTTATAATTCCAACATAATATTATCAGCATTGTTTATCCTTTCCAAAAAATAATCTTAAATATCAATACATTTTAATATTTTACAATACCCGAAACGAGAATGATTTTTTAATATTTT